CATAATAGCCAAAAGGAGGAAGCAACCCAAGTGTCCATCAATAGATGAACAGATAACAAAATGTGGTATAAACATACAATGCAATAATATTCATTAAAAAGGAAGGAGATTGACACATGCTACAATGTGGATGAACCTTGATGACATTATGCTAAGTGAAATAAGCCAGTCACAAAACGGCATATAATGTATGATTTCACTTGTATGAGATACCTAGAGTAGTCAAATTCCTAAAGATAAAGTAGAATGGGAGTTACTAGGGGGTGGGGGGAGAGGAAAATGCAGTTATGGCTTTGTGGACACAGAATTGCAGTGCGAGAAGACGAAAACATTTCTGGAGATCGATGGTGGTGATGGTCGCACAACAATGTGAATGTACTCACTGTCGACGACCTGTGCACTTACAAATGGTTAAAATGGTAAATTTTATGTTACATATATTTTATCACAATTTACAAACTCCGTTCGCTTAAGTAAAACAAAATGTCTACAACTAGTAGAAAAAACACAATAAATTTCATGGTGTAACTTTTCTCATACATAGCAACAGGCCCAAGGATATTACTATCCAGAAGAATATAACTGATACTTTAACTTTTAGTTGCCAAGCAAAGATTAAATTATGGCCCCTATACTCTGTTTATACCAGATAGGTAAGAACCACATTTTGCGAACATTTCCATCAAAAATGCTTTCAGTGAAAAAGCTTTGATGCTTTCAAACTTACCTGTTTGAAAATTTCCTGTTGTCAGGTAATGAGACATAATAATTGATACGATATCAGAGTATGGGAGAGATCCAAGATGGCTGATCACTAGCAGCTCGGGATTGTAGCTCCCAGTGAAAGCGCAGAGAACGAGAGGACACCACACTTTCAGATGAATTTTTGTTGCTCATGGACCAGGAGATTCCCAGCGGAGAAGCCCCACGGGTTGCCAGTGCAACTCTTGTGGTCAGCGTGGCGGTTTTGACAGCGCCTCGGCGCAGCGGTTCTTGGTGCAGAGTAAACCGGGCTGGGTCCCCTTTTGGCCGCCGTTTGGAGCTCTGGGAAGGCAGAGTTGCCTATTCAGCTGATTGAAAAAGGGACTCAGAAGGAAGCCAGACCGGAGATTCCCGGGCAGAAAAGCACCATCAATCTTACCCCGCTGTTTTAGCCGGCACAGTGGGTTGCTCAGATTCCGGCGCTGGGAATCAACAAGTTGGAAGGTCCACTCAGAAACCTAATTAGAAAGTCGGTAATTATAAAGACCACAGATGGATAAATTTATAACGAAGGGAAGAAACCAGCCTAAAAAGGCTGAGAATACCCAAAATCAGAACGCCTCTCCCTCTACAGGGGATCACAGTTCCTCATCAGCAAGGGAACAAGGCCTGATGGAGAATGACTGTGTTCCATTAACAGATTTAGGCTTCAGAAGGTGGATAATAAGAAACTTCTGTGAGTTAAAAGAACATGTTCTAACCCAATGCAAAGAAACTAAGAACTTTGAAAAAAGGTTTGACGAAATGCTAATGAGAATAGACAATTTAGAGAGGAATACAAATGAATTAATGGAGCTGAAACACACAACAGGAGAACTTCGCAAACTATGCACAAGTTTTTTTTTTTTTTTTTTTTTTTTTGAGAGGGAGTTTCGCTCTTATTACCCAGGCTGGAGTGCAATGGCGCGATCTCAGCTCAACGCAACCTCCGCCTCCTGGGTTCAGGCAATTCTCCTGCCTCAGCCTCCTGAGTAGCTGGGACTACAGGCACGCGCCACCATGCCCAGCTAATTTTTTGTATTTTTAGTAGAGACGGGGTTTCACCATGTTGACCAGGATGGTCTCGATCTCTTGACCTTGTGATCCACCCGCCTCGGCCTCCTAAAGTGCTGGAATTACAGGCTTGAGCCACCTCACCCGGCCACTAAGCACAAGTTTTAACAGCCGAATTGATTAAGCAGAAGAAAGGATATCAGAGGTCGAAGACCAACTTAATGAAATAAAGTGAGAAGACAAGATTAGAGAAAAAAGGATAAAAAGGAATGAGCAAAGTCTCCAAGAAATACGGGACTATGTGAAAAGATCTAATCTACGTTTGATAGGTGTACCTGAATGTGGCGAAGAGAATGAATCCAAGCTGGAAAACACTCTTCAGGATATTATTCAGGAAAACTTTCCCAACCTAGCAAGGCAGGATAATATTCAACTCCAGGTAATACAGAGAACAGCACAAAGATATTCCTCAAGAAGACCAACCTCAAGGCACATAATCGTCAGATTCACCAGGGTTGAAATGAAGGAGAAAATACTAAGGGCAGCCAGAGAGAAAGGTGGGGTTACCCAAAAAGGGAAGCCCATCAGACTCACAGCAGATCTCTCAGCAGAAACCCTACAAGCCAGAAGAGAGTGGGGGCCAATATTCAACATCCTTAAAGAAAAGAACTTTCAACTCAGAATCTCATATCCAGCCAAACTAAGCTTCACAAGCGAAGGAAAAATAAAATCTTTTGTGAAGAAGCAAGTACTCAGAGATTTCATCACCACCAGGCCTGCTTTACAAGACCTTCTGAAAGACGCACTACACATAAAGGAACAGTATCAGCCGTTCCAAAAATATACCAAAAAGTAAAGAGCATCAACATAATGAAGAATTTACATCAACTAATGGACAAAACAGCCAGCTAACATCAAATGGCCTAAATTTAAATTGACTAAATCCCCCAATCAAAAGACACAGCCAAAACTCCTCGGTATGCTGCATCCAGACCCATGTCACATGCAAGGAAACACAAAGACTCAAAGGGATGGAGAAAGATTTACAACCAAATGGAGAGCAAAAATAAATAAATAAATAAATAAATAAAAAGCAGGAGTTGTAATTCTTGCCTCTGATAAAATAGACTTTAAAGCAACAAAGATCAAAAGAGGCAAAGAAGGACATTACATAATGGTAAAAGGATCAATGCAACAAGAAGAGCTAACGATCCTAAATATATACACACCCAATCCAGGAACACCCAGATACATAAGACTTATAAAGAGACTTAGACTCCCACACAGCAATAGTGGGAGACTTCAACATCAATATTAGACAGATCAACAAGACAGAAAATTAACAAGGATATTCAGGACTTGAACTCATATCCGGAACAAGTAAACTTAATAAACATTTATAGAACCCTCCACTTTAAATACACAAAATATACACTCTTATTAGCACCACATCACCTACTCACAGGTTTAAATGAAATATTGGTTGGCTGCTTGTTTGTTATTTTCTTCCCTCATTTTTTTTTTCCTGTTTCCATTATTAAGCATAAAAGAGGTTTTCAATACCCATTTTTAGACTGCATTCTAGCCCGGGCAATAAAGCAACACTTCCGTTCTCTCACCCTCTTCCGCTTTCTTCCTCTCCTTCATTCTTTTTCTGTTTCTAAAAAAAAAAAAAAAAAAAAAAGGTATCAGAGTATGAAAAGACATTGTGGGCAGAAAAAATTTCATTTGAAAATCTGCTGGAATACTTAGAGTTCTTCACAGAAACCCTCAGAGACCTACAGGCTCCTAAGTGTTGTACACAAATTTACAGGAAAGAAATACCAGTAGACTATCCCTACTATGAAAATCTGAAATACGAAATGCTCCAATGAGCATTTCCTTTGAGTGTCATGTTGACATTCAAAAAGTTTTGGCTGGGCACCGTGGCTCACGCCTGTAATCCCAGCACTCTGGGAGGCCGGGGCGGGCGAATCACCAGGTCAAGAGATGGAGACCATCCTGGCCAACATGGTGAAACCCCGTCTGTACTAAAAATACAAAAAAATTAGCTTGGGCGTGGTGGCGCGCGACTGTAGTCCCAGCTACTCGGGAGGCTGAGGCAGGTGAACTGCTTGAACCCTGGAGGCGGAGGTTGCAGTGAGCCGAGGTGGCACCACTGCACTCCAGCCTGGCGCCTGGTGATGAAGCCAAACTCCGTCTCAAAAAAAAAAAAAGTAATAATTTATGCATGAAGTACTTCACAAGGTCTGGTTTACCACCTACTGAGGGAGAATGGAAGGGGAACAGCAGAAAATAAAAAAAGTTTTGAATCCAAGTTAATAAACTTGACCTTTAATCTACAGGCAACAGCCATTGGATCAGCTATTTTGGATCACGGTGGTGCTTGAAGGTGACTACACCTGTAGCAAGTATATGTAAGATGGGCTAGTAGCAGTGTGATGCTAGAGGCAGGACATCAGTGAGAAAGGTACATGCATTTACACCGTTCAGGGGATGGTTATGAGAACTTCGATTAGGTGGGGGCAGTGGGTAAGAAGATGCTGGAATTACTGTAGGGGTACAATCGACAGGACTTGCAAGTGATGGGAGCATGAACAAAAAAGAAAGGGCATCAAATCTGTCATCAGTTTCCAAGTTGGTTGTATTAACAAAAACGGATGCATAGCCTGGGAAGCAATTTGGGAGGGAAGAGGCCAAGCTTTGCCGGGATGTTAAGTGTTTACACATTTGCGGAACAGCCCAGAAGACAGGGCAAGGCTCCTGGAAGTAGCTGGATACTGACAGCTGAAACTGGAGCAGAGAGGAGGTATGTTTCCGCAAAACCACATACAAAATGGACTACGGAAATCTTACTACCCAAGCTTGCCCGGGCAGGAGAGAAAGGTGAAGCATCCCTTAAGTCATCAGTCGTGTCTGCTCTTCATGGCCTGCTCTCACCTGACGTTCCCCAAGAAGACTCCGGAGCAGGCGGCGGGAAGGAGCCTTTCCCTCCCTTCTCCAAAGATTTCCAGAACTTCCGTCTCTACCCGTCACCGGCTCCCAGTCAAACTGGCTTAATAGACAGCGACGTTTTCGACTGCCCAGCCACCAGGCAGGCTGAAAGCGCTTGGGAGGCATCATCCATCTTTAGACAGCTACTTGCCCACACCTCCTCGAGCTCTGGGCGTTGCGCCAACATTTAAAGAAGCGCTCTGCTGCAAAGCGATCTACGCCGTCTTAGTTATCGCGAGACTTGACAGGCATCCCAGCCTCAGATCAGTCCGCCGGAAGCGGAAGTCGGATGGTTGTCGGATTCTAGCGGAAGGGGCTCCCTTACGTTGGAGGGCTGGAGTGGTCTGGAGTTCCACGGCGTAGTTGGGTAGCGACCACCTCTTCTGTGGCCTCTTAGTGTCTCGCGGGCGGGATTCAGCCCGAGCTGGATAGAGACAGCCCTTCGCGGGTGAGTTGCCTCGGACGCCCGGGAGGAGGGAGCGGGGCGACCGAGTTGGGTGGCCGGTGAGGTGTCTTCCGCCTGTGCGGTGGATTTGTACTCTTTGCGAGACCGAAAGCCATTTGCCTCTCACGGCCCATAATTTCCCTCTCTTCTAGGGGTGTAAGATGCTTCGGAAGGGAGCAGATCTGCTAGAACCTTGGTAAACAAGCTGTGATGTGCCTTGAGGACAGACTGGAAAATGCAGTTGAAAAGTCTGCATCTTCGTCTGTTCTCTAGGCTCACCTCCTAGGGCAGCGAAACCCCATTCTGGTTGGTTATTTCAAGGGTTAGTTGCCCGCAGCCGAAGTTTTTTGTGGTTTTACTTGTGGTGAATAAACTAGTGGTGATCGAGTACAAATCTGAAAGACTTACCCTAAAAGAACATACATACTTCATGAAGTTCTTATTCATACTTCAACTATTTTGCTTTTGAAGGCCCAGAGGACAAATCTTGTAGCTTCTAGCTCTTCACTGTGAGAGCCAGTTCCCTATTTGGAATATTAGCTTTGGAAGTCTTTAGAGTACTTGTTTTGTTTTTTGTTTTGAGACGGAATCTCTCTTTGTCGCCCAGGCCGGAGTGCAGTGGCACGATCTCAGCTCACTGCAACCTCCTCCTCCTGAGTTCAAGTGATTCTTCTGCCTCAGCTTCCCGAGTAGCTGGGACTTACAGGCGCTTGCCTCCACGCATGGCTAATTTTTTGTATTTTTAGTAGAGACGGGTTTTCCCCGTTAGCCTGGATGGTCTAGATCTCCTGACCTCGTGATCCGCCCGCCTTGGCCTCCCAAAGTGCTGGGATTACAGGCCTGAGCCACCGCGCCGGCCTTAGAGCACTTTTACTCCAAGTCTCTCCTTAAGTAAGACATAAGTGCACCAGCCTCCCCTCCAAACACCTTTTGAGAGTAAAAGTCAAGTTCGTTTTCTTTCTCCCACAGATTTAAACAACCTAAACATTAAGCAGTACAGCTGCCTCAAATCTCTGGGGTAAGTAAAGCTTGGGTCAATTAACATTCTATTTAAATTCCATTCTCAGTAATAATACAGTTGATATTTGTTTACATGAGTGTGGTTGGGGAGTCATCCGAGAACATATGAGAACATAAAAATGGAGTAACACCTTTTACTTGCCTTATGATTTTTACTGCCCGTCTGGATTAGGCATGAGTCATCTTTTTAGTGATTTCTGTGATCCTGATAGAATTCTAGGCATGAGTCATCTTTTTAGTGATTTCTGTGATCCTGACAGAATTCTAGGCATGATTTTAATTAGCTGAATTTATTTGAAACTCATTCCTTGGACTTGAGAATTTGACATATAGTTTGCCAATCCCAGATGCATTGAAAGTCTTTGATATTTGGTATTTGATAAAGCACACTAAGAACAATAGCCTGAAAGTGTCAGGCCGGGTGCAATGGCTCATGCCTGTTATCCCAGCACTTTGGGAGGCTGATGCGGGCCAATCACCTGAGGTCAGGAGTTCAAGACCAGTCTGACCAACATGGTGAAATCCCATCTCTACTAAAAATACAAAAATTAGCTGGGCGGGGTGGTGTGCACCTGTAATCCCAGCTACTCGAGAGGCTGAGGCAGAAGAATTACTTGACCCTGGGAGACAGAGGTTGCAGTGAGCTGAGATTACGCCATTGCACTGAAGCTCTGGGCAACAGAGCAAGACTCCGTCTCGGGGGGAAAAAGAAAATAAAACAGAGTGTCTACATATTGCTTCTTGCAATCCAAACAATAATTTTGGTTTAATTTTGTTGGGGTGAAGGTAGGTAGTATAAATGTTACAAATAGATGCATATGTTTGGAGGAAAGGCAGACTGATAAAGAAGTTATCACAGTAACTTTCAATATCACATCTCTTTGTCCAAAATGTTTTATTATAAGTTAATACAATAAGAAAATAATTTTGGCCAGGCCCAGTGGCTCATGCCTGTAATCCCAGCACTTTGGGAGGCCAAGGCAGGAGGATCACTGGAGCCTAAGACTTTGAGACCAGCCTGGGCAACATGGCAAGACCCTGTCTCTTCAAAAAATACAAAATTAGCCGCTTGTGGGTGGCATGCACCTGTAGTCCAGCATCTTGGGAGGCTGAGGTGGGAGGATTGTTGGAGCCAAGTCTGCAGTTACCTGAGACTGTGTCATTGTGCTCCAGCCTGGGTGACAGAGTGAGAGATCTTGTCTCAAAAAAAAAAAAAGTTGAATTCAATACCTAAAACATAACAAGTCTGAAGGTACACAAAGACTTCCACAAATATCCTACCTAAAAATTGTTTACTTCTTGGTTTTTCATTATCTAGAGAGATTGTGTTAATTTTTAAAATTTTTTTTAATAAAAATGTCTTTAAAATTGTACAGAATTTCAGAATGACTGACACTGCCGAAGCTGTTCCAAACTTTGAAGAGATGTTTGCTAGTAGATTCACAGAAGATGACAAGGAATATCAGGAATATCTAAAACGCCCTCCTGAGTCCCCTCCAATTGTTGAGGAATGGAATAGCAGAGCTGGTGGGAACCAAAGAAACAGAGGCAACCGGTACATAAAGAATAAATGCAAATGGTTGACCTGGCAGAAGATAGCTTTAATCTGCTAGACTGTAAGGCCACTGAGGGCAGGGACTAGTTTTTAGTATGGCATGCCTAGTGCCTAATAGTGCCTGGTATATTGTTTCTGATAAATACTTGCTTTAATATTTTTTCAGCACCATATATTTTTTCCTTGCTGTTCAAGTGTGTGTGTTTTCTTGTTTTTAAATGTTCTTTCTATAGACTAATACTTTCTATGCAAATCTCCTTTAAAAACCTAGAGTTTTCTAGAACTTGTTCAATTCCATAAAGAAAATGTTGTTTCGATTTTACTCTACGAACACGTTTACAATTGGAAGTTACTTTTACTTAATTCAAAATAGTCAAAGGAATAAATTACCATACCATTTTTGTACAATTGAATAGATTTCACTTTAATTCAGAACCATTCTACTGGTTATATAGTCTGCCTATTTCTCTGTAAAGTGTATGTAGTATAGTACTAGAAGAATGATTTCAGTCTTAGGAAAGGTTTGAATAACTGGTGCTATAACATTCTATTGTGAAAAATGTTTTTTAGTCTTATTTATTGAGAAACTAGATGCACTGCTATGGGTTTGTCTTGTGTTTTTTTAACAAGGAAGTTTAAAGACTTTTTTTGTTTTGTTCTTGTAGATTGCAAGATAACAGACAGTTCAGAGGCAGGGACAGCAGATGGGGGTGGCCAAGTGACAATCGATCCAATCAGTGGCATGGACGATCCTGGGGTAACAATTACCCGCAACACAGACAAGAACCTTACTATCCCCACCAATATGGACATTATGGTTACAACCAGCGGCCTCCTTACGGTTACTACTGATAGAAATGTTGGCAGCTTTTAGTAAAAGCATTTACTCTGTTACCATGACAAAAGTTTGGGTGACTTCTGTTGGTCATAGTTATACATCTGATTTTAGAGAACGGATTATTTTTTGGAAGTTGAGACTTAAAAAAAAAGATCTTAACTTGCGGGATGCGATGGTTGCTGGTAATACCTGAAATTGTGGATTATATTGCTTGACTTCTACCTCAGAGTCTTCCTTGTTTCACGATGTAATAGTGCTTTGGGTTTGGTATATTTTCTTATTTGACCTCTAGGAGACCTTCGTTTTACACAGAAATAAAAATTTTAAAATAGAAAATGCTTGCTTTTACTTTGTAAGGTAAGACAGTATCCATATACTTAGATTTGCTCGTTTCTAAAATTCTAGAAGTTAATACAATCAGCTCATGAATGCACAGCTATGCTTCTTGTCAAAGATTGTACATAACATCAGCAGTTGAAAGATAAAACAATTCCTTTTTTTTTTTTTGCTTTTGTTACGTGACTGTGGTACTTTGTGATTCCTTACTCTATAGATAATGAGTCAGCTCCACAGTTATTTGGGTCTCTTTAGAGGGAAATCAGTAATAAAGCTGTAAAATAAGGAAGGAATCATTGTCAGTTTGTGTCTTGATCTGGTGGTGGTTGGGATTAGGGTATCATCGTTTTATATACCCACTAAGGCTTTTCGCTAACAACATAGCAGGTCAAAATTCACACATACAAAAGTTTAACTCTGTGATGTTCAAACTTTCCTTTTTAATCCTGTAAATAATGCTGCATTTTGATTGTTCTTTCTTTTTTGGTATTTAATGTGGGCTGATTTTACAATGTTATATTCACTTCCAGATGCATACCTCTGCTGCTTTCTCTTCTATAAATAGTGATGCTACAAACTTCGTTTCACAGAGATAATTCTATTTCAAATCGTTTTAATGGTTATTACAGCAATGGTTTCATTCAAATAAATTTTAAAAAAAAATTTAAGTGTCTTCACTCCCAAGTTCTAGCAGTTAGCCTATTTATTAATATGGTGAAATGAGATTTTTTGGTTTTTTTATTATGCTGTTTTTCATATCTGTTGAAAAGGGCTTATTTGGTTTAAGAGTAACATTAAGAGTGCAAGTTTCAACATAGGTCAAAGGAATTAACAGGCACCTCCCTGACTTTATTAGAGCGACCAAAAAAATAAAAAATCAAACAATATTTAAAAAGGCATCTTCTGGCCAGGTGCAGTGGCTCACGCCTATAATCCCAGCACTTTGGGGGGCTTAGGTGGGTGAATCATTATCACTTGAGGTCAGGAGTTTGAGACCAGCCTTATCAACATGGTGGGACCCCATCTCTACTAAAAATATAAAAATTAGCTGGGTGTAGTGGCACAGGCCTATAATCTCAGCTACTTGGGAGGCTGAGGCAGAAGAATTGCTTTAACTCCAGAGGTGGAAGTTGCAATAAGCCGAGATCATGCCACTGCACTCCAGCCTGGGTGACAGAGTGAGACTTCATCTCAAAAAAAACGGTAGCATCTTTGTAAACCTGTCTTTTACTGCCTTCTCTCTTAGCACTCCACTCTAGGCCCTCAAAGTTGACTTCTCCAGGTACTTCATGCTCTGATTCTACCTCTTTTTTATTCTCCCTGGAAAGCTACCTCTCAGGTAACTGTTTTATTGGAAAGAACCTAATAAGTCATGCATTCACACTAAGATGTAAATAAAATATTAACAGTAAGGTAAGCGTTTTCCCTGTACCCCCCTAATTACATCAGTAGGCAACAAGCCAGTGCTATAGGTTTTGGGCCTAGCATGGTGGCCCACGCCTGTAATCCAAGCACTGGGAGGCCAAGGTGGGCAGATCAGGAGGTCAGGAGTTCGAGACCAGCCTGGCAAACATGGTGAAACCCTGTCTCGACTAAAGATACCAAAAATTAGCCAGGTGTGGTGGCAGGTGCCTGTAATCCCAGCTATTTGGGAGGCTGAGGCAGGAGAATTGCTGGAACCCAGGAGGCAGAGGCTGCAGTGAGCTGAGATCACGCCATTGCACTCGAGCATGGGTGACAGGGTGAGACTCTGTCCCAAAAAAAAAAAAATAAAAGGTTTTGATACTACAGATACTTAGCCAAATAGTAACATCCTGACTACACTCCAGGATCTTCTCTGAAAGCAGAAGTGTTATCAAAAATATCTATCACCTGGTTGGGTATGGTGGCTCATACCTGTTATCCCAGCACTGTGGGAGGCCAAGGTAGAAAGATCACTTGAGGCCAGGAGTTTGGGGCCAGCCTTGGCAATGTAGCAAGATCCTGTCTCTACTGAAAATTTAAAAATTAGCTCAGTGTGGTGGTCATGCCTGTAGTCCTAGCTACTCAGGAAGCTGAGGCAGGAAGATCCCTTGAGTCCCTGAGGACTTCAGGACTACAATGAGCTAGGATCATGCCACTGTACTCCAGTTTGGGCAAGAGAATGAGACCTTGTCTCTTAAAAACAATGATTTAAACCAGGCGTGGTGGCTTATACCTGTAATCCCAGGACTTTGGGAGGCCGAGGCGGGAGGATCACAAGGTCAGGAGATTGAGACCATCCTGGCTAACACAGTGAAACCCCATCTCTACTAAAAACACAAAAAATTATCCAGGTGTGGTGGCACACACCTTTAGTCCCAGCTACTAGGGAGGCTAAAGCAGGAGAATTACTTGAACCTGGGAGGCGGAGGTGCAATGAGCTGAGATCATGCCACTGCACTCCAGTCTGGGCAACAGAGTGAAACTGCCTCAAAAAATTGGTAATGATTTATAGGCTGAGTGTGGTGGCTCACGCTTGTAATCCCAGCACTTTGGGAGGCTGAGATGGGCAGATCACTTGGGGTCAGGAGTTTGAGACCAGCCTTGCCAACATGGTAAAACCCAGTTTCTACTAAAAATACAAAAACTAGCCAGGCATGGTGGCAGGCACCTGTAATCCCAGCTACTCAGGAGGCTGAGGCAAGAGAATCGCTTGAACCTGGGAGGCCGAAGTTGCAGTGAGCTGAGACCATGCTATTGCACTCCAGCCTGGGCAACAAGATCAAAACTCCGTCTCAAAAAAAAACAAACAACAGCAACAACAAAACAATTTATAACATCATATTACCTGAGAAAGCACGGGCGCTGAGCAGTAGTTGAGACAGTAGCTGACTATAGCTTCAGGGCAGGATTCTCTGCTGTGCCAGCTGTTGACACAAAGGGAGACGTGTGGGTCCAAGGCCAGCACTGAAGGGGTGCCTCTCAAAAATCTCATAAGAGAGGTGGTTTCCAACAGTATTTAAACGCTTTAACTCCTAACACAGCTAGGCTGCCTGTGACCTGAGTATCAGCCCTGCTTGAAAAAATGGGAAGAAATCTCCTTTCAACATGAGTTAATTCGGCATGCTGCATGAATAATCTATGTGGTTATGGTTTTTGTTTTTTAACAACAGTTACTATCAGACTGTACCCCTGCCCCCCATGTGCTTAAAACCAGGAAGAAATAAAAGGCACAGTTTCTGCTTCATGAGACAGGAAATAAAATGAAAAAAGCTTAAAGAGAACAAAGAATTAAAATAGTGTCAAATAGAATTAATTTCAAGTAGACAGTCTGTTATAATAACATATGGCATTAGGCATAAGGAATCCTAGCTTCCAGTTCTGTGCTTAAAACATATGTGACCTTGAGAAAATCATGTAAACGCTGAACTTATTGGCTTAGCTGGAAAAAGGAGGACAATACCCAACCTGCCACCCTCATAGAATTATTAAAATAAATAACTAAAGGAAGAGCTTGAGAATATAGAGTTGTGACCATTAAACTCCTAGTGGCACATAATAGGTGCTGCATAAACATTTGTTGAATCAACGGGAGGGGAGGGAAGTATTTGGTAAATTGTAAAGCGTAGTGTTGATATGAAGGATGTAAAGTAATGGACAGAAGATAAGGCAAGGCAGGAGACGTTGAGAATTAAGGATTTCTGACCGTTTCCTTATGTGAATTCATATGTGAATTAGCAAAGGAAAGCAAGTTATATCATTCAATAAACACTTCAAATGTGGAAGACGGTTTGTATTTAAAAAGTTGAGCTAAAATTAGTAGTATTTGGCCAGGCCCAGTGGCTCACACTTGTAATCCCAGCACTTTGGGAGGCCAAGGCAGGTAGACAACCTCAGGTCAGGAGTTTGAGACCAGCCTGGCCAAAATGGCAAAACCCTATCTCGATGAAAAACAAAAATTAGCTGGGCATGGTGGTGTGCACCTGTAGTCCCGGCTACTAGGGAAGCTGAGGCTGGAAACTTGCTTGAACCTGGGAGGCAAAGGTTGCAGTGACCCAAGATTGCGCCACTGCACTCCAGCCTGAGCAACAGGGCAAGACTCCATCTCAGAAATAAATAAATACATAAAATAAGTAGCATTTGCTGTTTGGAAATTGGTACCGAGTTTAGAATGTCAAATGTTAATTACTGAACACACCAGATTAATGTCCTTTTGAGAACAGGATGCTGGGAAGTTTCAGAGTTTTTTGTGTTTTGTTTTTGAGTGCTAGGTAGACTTGGGGTTATACAGAATGTAATAAACTTGAGTCACTGCTTTGAGAATAGTTTTGGGGTTCTTGAAACTATATAGGAAAAAGACATCTGGGAAGATTTCTAGCATGGTTTTTGTTTCCAAAGCCATGTTCCTTATAATGCTTAACAGACAAATATATAATTTTCCTTGTATTTTATTCACCTAAAGGAAAATATAGGACTGGGCTGGGTACAGTGGCTCATGCCTGTAATCCCAGCACTTTAGGAGGCCAAGGTGGGCAGATGACAAGGTCAGGCATTCGAGACCAGCCTCACCAACATGGTTAAACCCGCCTCTACTAAAAATACAAAAAAATAGCTGGGCGTGGTGGTGCACACCTGTAATCCCAGCTACTCAGGAGGCTGAGGCAGAAAAATCGCTTGAACCCAGGAGGCGGAGGCTGCAGTGAGCTGAGATTGTGCCACTGAACCCCAGCCTGGGTGAAAAACCAAGACTCCATCTCAAAAAAAAGAAAAAGATAGGACTTTATAATAGAATTAAGAGTAACGAAATGTCAGTTTTAAGTTGAGACTGTTATAATTGAAGGAAGCCATCATTTGCCCTGAAGGTTATTGACAGCACTAATTTTCAACTCTCATAAAAGAACTTTACTTGTTTCCTAAATATAATTTTTAATTTTTTAATTTTTTTTTTTTTTTTTTTTTGAGACAGAGTCTCACACTTATTACCCAGGCTGGAGTGCAGTGGCACGATCTGGGCTCACTGCAATCTCCACCTCCTGGATTCAAGCAGTTCTCCTGCCTCAGCCTCCCACATAGCTGGGATTACAGCTGCCCACCACCACACCCAGCTAATTTTTGTTTTAGTAGAGACGGGGTTTCATTATGTTGGCCAGGCTGGTCTCGAACTCCTGACTTCAAGTGATCCACCCGCCTCAGCCTCCCAAAGTGCTGGGATTACAGGTATGACCCATCGCGCCTGGCCTTAAATATAATTTTTTTAAAAAATTTATTTTTAGACAAGTTCAAGCCAACCTAAATACAATTTTTTCACACCTTAAAAATTTTCCTAGACTTCCTATTTTATTTGATTCAATCCAAACACAGATTTGGCTGTGTATGGAAATCTATCTCGTAGACTGTTGACTTCTTATAATTAGCACCATCAGCTATAGTGAAAGGAATTTTTTAAATTTAGGAAATATAAGAAATAAATATTCCCAGCTTAAGGTGGCTTCTATTACAATTGGACTTCAGTTAGCTGGGAATGTTAGTTGTGAAAGTGCTTACTTTATAATGTCAGACAAATGAAATACATGTAAATTATTATCTGAAATGCCTATATGCATTTTTCTTTCAATATCTTGCATTTTAACCAAAGACACGTATTTAATATATATATAAATGAGAATTTTGAAATATTAAATAAGGCTTTGGTTAATTCTGTAGGAAAAAATTATATATAAGGCACTCAAAACATCTTTGTTCTGTTTATGAACATAAAAAGATATGCTTTTAAAACTCTCAAATTTTAAAACTGATTTAAGACCAACAGGAGAAAATACTCTTGACACTGGCAGAAGTTAATTGTTAATATTTAGATTAATCCTTTAGGATTCACATGTATCCAGATGTGATATATCTAAAGAAAGATTTCTACTGACATCTGCTATATTAAATTATTATGGAATGAAAGAAACAACTAGATTCAAGTAGTAGATTATACCACTGGAGCCCACGGCAGTCTTGAGAGCGGATATCTCCTCTTTTCTAGAAGGCTGGCTGATTACTGCTGTAACCAGCTTTTGAGGAAAGTAAGGATGGGAGTAGAGATGCCTTGACCTGTGTACATTCTGGGGGAGAGTGGCCCTGGGCCAGGAGGGTTGCATGGGTCCCAATCAGTGGGGCTGTACTATGTTACGGTGTGCCCTGGGTGAGGAAGAAGTGACACTTCAGCTGCTGTGACACTGCTGAGGCTTCTGCGTGCCAGAGAAACATCTTGCTTCTGAGGAATTCAATGATCAGTGCTGTCAGATTAGAAAAGTGGAGATGAGCTGTGGATAATATCCCTCAGATTTAAAGGTTTACAGGATGGGATAGGAGGAGCAGATTAATGAAAAGTCTTTGGTCAGAACAGTTGGCCAGGCATGTGGCTCATGCCTGTAATCCCAGCACTTTGGAAGGTTAAGGTGGATGGATCACCTGAGGTCAGCAGTTCCAGACCAGCCTGGCAAAAACCCATCTCTACTAAAAATACAAAAATTTGCTGGGCATGGTGGTACATGACTGTAATCCCAGCTACTCAGGAGGCTGAGGCAGGAGAACTGCTTGAACCTGGGAGGTGGAAGTTGCAGTGAGCCGAGATCGCATCACTGCACTCAAGCCTGGGTGACAGAGGGGGATTCCATCTAAAAAAAACAAAAACAGCTAATATTTGACGTGACTGCCCCACTGCAGGATTAAGAGAGAGCATAAAGTATGCAGCACTGAACTAGGCACATAATGGGTACCCAGTCAGGTTTGGACATTAGAATGAGGTATCTGTGGGCTGCTAGGGTACAAGAAGGACAACTCGCAAATCTTTCACCAGTGTCTTTATGGGGTGATGGGCTGATTTCAGTTGTTTTCATTCCTCTCCCTAAGGGGCACAGACAGCTCCACGTATGGGCTAATTCAGTTGATGTTTTCATTCCTTTCCCTCAGGGACACAGAGAGCCCTATGTATTAATTACCAGTTAGATTTTCTGTGGGTTTCAGTGACTCCTCCTGAGACAGCTTCAGGGGATGATGGGATGATGATCTCATGGTTTTTTTCCACTGCTAGTACCTTTAACTCCCCAAAGAATCTCCAGCCTCTTTGTCTGAATTAGGTAAATAAAACTGCTCTTAATGGCTAACGGCTAGAGCTTTGTTGTTTGTATGTGTATTTTTCTCATTTTAAAATTTCCTCAACTTGTGTGTTTACAAAACAATAAATAAGTGAAACAATACAAAAATGAATAATTTTGGCTGGGTGAGGTGGCTCACTCCTGTAATCCCAGCAGTTTGGGAGGCTGAGGAGAACGAACCACCTGAGCTCAGGAATTCAAGACCAGCCTGGCCAACATGGAGAAGTCCCATCTGTACTAAAAATACAAAAAATAAATAAATAAATAAACGGGCATGGTGGCTTAGGCCTGTAATCCCAGATACTTGGGAGGCTGAGGCAGAAGAATCACTTAAACCTGGGAGGCAGAGGTTGCAGTGAGCCGAGATCACCCCACCACACTCCAGTCTGAGCAACAAGAGTGAAACTTTGTCTCGAAAAATAATTTTTAAGTGACTTCTATAGCTGTCATTTTCCCTTCTTTGTTCACTCTTCTCTATCTTGCCTTCTAAATTCCATACCGTTTTCAGCCTCCTCTCTGTTGGACTGTTTCCAACATGGCCTGTATTTCTATTATGCTTCTGTTTTTCCTTTTTATTTATTTGAGACAGGGTCTTGCCCTATCACCCAAGCTGAAGTGCAGTGGCGTGACTGTGGCTCACTGCAACCTTGAATTCCTGAGCTCAAGTGATCCTCCTGTCTCAGCCTCCCAAGTAGCTGGGACTATAGGCACAAGCCACTATGCCTGGCTAATTTTATTTTTATAGAAAAGGGGTCTCACTATGTTGCCCAGGCTGGTCTTGAACTCCTGGCCTCAAGCTATCCTCCTGCCTCAGCTTCCCAAACTGCTGGGATTACAGGCATGAGCCAACATGGCCAGCCTTATCTTTTATTTTTAAATTCTGTTAGCCACATTTCAAGTGCTCAATAGCCACATGTGGTAGGAGCAGCTATCATGTGGACATGCCGCCCAGTATGGCTGTAGAAGAGGACTAAAGGCTAGCATTTTTGTTGACCTGACTCACTCCCTTATTGTCCACAGTGGCCTAATCCCCCTAGGCATCTCTGATGAAAGTTTGAACATCACTGTGATAGTAAAAACATAGATGAGTTTCCTGTAGAAATGACCAGGGAGTATGTAACCTGTGGCTGCAAAATCTGGGGATTTTTCCCTCCCAAATTCTGTCTGGGGGACTGATGGCAGACAGGCTAAAATGCAAAAACCCTTAATAACTGAATTCTAAGGATTGTCTGAGGAATGCCTATGTGGGTAGAAATAGGTGCTCTTCCTGCAACCTAGAAAAAATAATTTCCTGTACCATGAAGGATCATTATATCTCCAGTGTTGTCCCAGAAGAGGATCTGTGACTGGCTGCTACCATAGGTCCATCCCTGCAGCAGAAATGGGAGCTCTAGATGGTCATAGCTCCCTTACTCTGGCCCCTAATTTCCCTGGCTCTGATTCCAAGCTCTCCAAGCAGCCTTAAAATGATTCTCTTAAAGAGATTTCCCAAAGGGACAGAATGTGCTCACTACAGATCCCACTATACAGTCTATTTGGCAGGTCTGTTCTTGACTCAAGTTAATAAGTTGGCATCTTGATTAGAAATTAGCTCCTTGCCAATTGCCCCACCCAGGTCCATTTTCAAAAACACTGGCTTCGTGGATTTCTGAAAGCTGCAGTTAAGGGAGAAACTCAGGACCATGCTGCCTCCACCATGGCAATGAGCCGAGATGCTCATGTACCCAGCTGGCCCCAAGTTAACAACACTCAGGCCTGAGCTCAATTTAAGATACAGGGGGACTAACCTTAAGGAATAGCTCTGAAGCCTGGCGCAGTGGCTCATGCCTGTCATCTCGGCACTTTGGGAAGCCAAGGTGGGCGGATCACAAGCTCAGGAGTTCAAGACCAGCCTGGCCAAATGGTGAAACCCCATCTGTACTAAAAATATGAAAAATTAGCCAGACTGGCGGCACACACCTGTAATCCCAGCTACTTGGGAAGCTGAGACAGGAGAATCACTTGAATCCAGGAGGCAGAGGTTGCAGTGAGCCAAGATTATACCATTGCACTCCAGCCTGGGCGACAGAGCAAGACTCCTTCTCGAGAAAAAAAAAAAAAAAAAAGGCTCTGAGAAGACAAGAAGGATCACAGCGTGTGAGCGTGGTAGTCAGGCACTGCAGAAAAAAATTTCCTATTAGCACTGTTCACTTCAAAAGGAACCAAGTTTCAAAGTCCGTGTAGTTTTGTTGTGTTATGGTGCCACCTCTTGGATGTAAATTGAAATTCTAAGTTTTTAGTCACTAGTTACATGCATTAAAACAATTTGAATTTGTGGACACGTGGGTTCTAAAATTTATATTCTGCATTATAGCTAAGGAACTATATGTAACCAAATCCCTGGAATCTAAGAGGGAGATGCTGACAGCCCATAGCCCAGAGAGCTGCCTCTTAAAAAGTTTGTGCATTTAGGTGTTTGGAACTTTATTTTTTGAGACAGACTCTCACTCTGTCGCCCAGGCTGAAGTGCAAAATTTAACAATCTCAGCTTACTGCAACCTCTACTTACTGGCTTCAAGCAATTCTTGGGTCTCAGCCTCCTGAGTAGCTGGGACTGCAGGCATGCACCACCACACCCAGCTAATTTTTGTATTTTTAGTAGAAACAGGGTTTCACCATGTTGGTCAGGCTGGTCTTGAACCCCCGACTTCGAGTGATCTAGCTGCCTGAGCCTCCCAAAGTGCTGGATTACAGGCATGAGCCACCGCACCTGGCCTAGATGTTTGGAACTTTAAACACTGCAAAGGTGCCACCTCCATCCTCTGGTTCTTGCTGTCCATCCCCTAACCAAGAGTAAAGTGTGGTATGGCTCACAGAAATCAGGAGTCCGAAATCTCCGCTCCTGCCTCCAGGGCATAATGAGCCAGGCTGTTCTTACCCAGGTTCTGTCAAAGTATAGCGTAGGCAAAGCACCTAGCAGTGTCTGTCAAGTAAGCACCCAAGTTAATAAATGATGAATCAATCATGTTTGTACAAGTAATCATCATTTATTAAGGTGGGGGTAAGCCAGGTACCGTGGCTCACGCCTGTAATCCCAGCACTTTAGGAGGCTAAGGTGGGAGGATTATGAAGTCAAGAAATCAAGACTATCCTGGCCAACATGGTGAAACCCTGTCTCTACTAAAAACATAAAAAATTAGCCGGGCATTGTGGTGTGCACCTCAAGTCCCAGCTACTCGGGAGGCTGAGGCAGGAGAATCGCTTAAACCTGGGAAGCAAAGGTTGCAGGGAGCCGAGATGGAACAAATGCATTCCAGCCTGGGCGACAGAGTAAGACTCTATCTCCCCAAAAAATACTACTGAATCTGATGATTGCAAGTTACCACTGTGGAAGAAGAAAATTCAGTAACATCTCAAAAATTATAATTCATATTAGAAGTCTGATTTTTCTTTACTTTTTCACAAAATGGTGAATGTAGTCTTCAAAAGATGTAAAAAAAAAAATTCTGCTTTTAAATAAGCATTTTAAAATCTAAGGAAAGACTACAAAGCAGCGTAACAGGTTTTCTGTCACTTGTAAATTGGATTAGAAGACAATCCCCAGAATTCTAGAACTGTTGTGGAGATATGATGACTTTAATTTACAACCTGGAAAAACTTAATTCAACAAGGAGTCAAAAGATCTGAGTTCTAGTTGCCAGTGGTACAATCTTGAGTAAATCTCTCAGCTTCTGGGTATCAGACGCTCTGCCCACAGAATGAAAGGTGTTAAATCAGGTCATCCTCAATATTCTTTCCAGCTCTGTTATTTTATAATGCCATGAAATCAGAGTAACATGTTCCAGGCTGTTTGGGGTTAGGGATTTCAGAACCCGTATTCAATGTGTAGCACTTTTAAAATTTCTACTTTTTGAAGTCTTATTTGAACATATATATATTCTTCTCTGCATGCTCTTCTGTGCATACAGTATATGTTTCTATTTAACAGCCTTTTCATCATTAGCAATAAAAAAGTTTCTCAAGGATATATTTTTCATTTCTTTTGAGAGGGAGTTCACTCTTGTTGCCCAGGATGGAGTACAATGGCGCGATCTCAGCTCACTGCAACCTCCGCCTCCTGGGTTCAGGCGATTCTCCTGCCTCAGTCTCCCGAGTAGCTGGGATTACAGGTATGCACCATCACACACAGCTAATTTTGTATTTTTAGTAGAGACAGGGTTTCACCATGTTGGTCAGGCTGATCTTAAACTCCTGACTTCAGGTGATCTGCCCGCTCAGCCTCCCAAAGTGCTGGGATTGAGGCATAAGCCACCACACCTGGCCTCATTTCTTGCTCTTATGTTTTTTTGGCTTCCTTTTTTAATTTCTCCAAGATCTCTTCTGGAGTTGTAGAGGCCAAAAGCTTCACCACCTTTTCACGAGATTTACCACCCTGGACCAAAAGAGAAAAAATATGCTTTACTGTTTAGCACATTCTAATGCCATTAGGAGACAGCAGACCTCATTCGTACAATGGGCTTTCCTGACAGCTTAGGTACCACTTTCTCTTGGTTACTTTTGGTCTAACCAAAGACCATCTCTTAAGATTCCACCTTACTAGCATTTGTTACTAAACATTTGTTAGTACTAACAACTCTCCAGGGTTTTTACCTTCATACATCAATTTCTATAATAAAAGCTGGACATTAAAATCTCAAAGATGAATATGAAATCTTTTTTTTTTTTTTTTTGAGACGGAGTCGCTCTGTTGCCTAGTCTGGAGTGCAGTGGCGCAATCTTGGCTCACTGCAACCTCTGCCTCCTAGGTTCACGTAATTTTCCTGCCTCAGCCTCCTGAGTAGCTGGGACTACAGGCTTACGCCACCATGCCCAGCTAATTTTTTATATTTTTAGTAGAGATGGAGTTTCACCATGTTAGCCAGAATGGTCTCGATCTCCTGACCTCATGATCCACCAGCCTTGGCCTCCCAAAGTGCTGGGATTACAGATGTAAGCCACCACACCTGGCCGGAATCTTTATAATATTCTAGTCTTAAGCAATTCTTTAAGTTAAAAACAAGAATCATCTTGGCTGGGCACAGTGGCTCACGCCTGTAATCCCCACACTTTGGGAGGCCAAGGCAGGCAGATCACCTGAGGTTGGGAGTTTGAGACCAGCCTGACCAACATGGAGAAACTCCATCTCTACTGAAAATACAAAATTAGCCAGGCGTGGTGGTGCATGCCTGCAAACCCAGCTACTCGGGAGGCTGAGGCAGGAGAATCGCTTGAACCCAGGAGGCAGAGCATGTGGTGAGCTGAGATCATGCCACTACACTCCAGCCTGGGCAACAAGAGTGAAACTTCGTCTCAAAAAAAAAAGAAAATAATATTTAAAATACCAAAATTAATATTGCAATTTTATATAAGCTTTGTAGTAAAACAATTATAAATATAAACAAATTGCTGTTCTCTATGTTGTTAAACATTTCTGAAAATTCCAAACAAAAAGCAGCCACATATCCAAGTGCCACGATTTCACAATCACTTAAAACAACTTTAAAAAGGATTTGTTTTCAAACACATCTTTTAAAGAAGATAAAATCTGAGACGGGATTTATTTAGATGGGTAGAATTTGCACAGGCGGACGAGTGGTGAACATCTTTCAGGCAAATGTCAGAGCAGGAGCACCAGCCAAAAATCAGAAATAACTTGCCCCAGGTGGGGCATTCAAATGGATTTTTAGGTGCAGTCTGTTAATCAATGACTTTGAATGCCAGCTGGAACCCAGATAGGAGCAATACAGTATAGCACTGGAAAAGGAGTAGAGCTTTAAGAAATATAAACATGGCTGGGCCCTATTCCTGAAGATTCTATTTCAAGAAGCCTAGAGTGAGACTCAGGGATCTGTATTTAGAAATCATTCCCAGGTGATTTTGATATCCACCCCTAGTGCAAAACCATATTAATGACATCATACAAGCCTTCTGTCTTCCCAATGAGCTTCTTCTAGTGAGCAAGGGCAACATAGGGGACCAGCAACACTTGACAGAGTCACTCATGGAGATGACTAACAACAGGAAATGCTTTAGGTTGTTTAGTGTGGTGATGGCTTGAAGGATGAGAGAGGTAAGCAAGATTAATCTGATAGCAGGTTCAGGAATGAATTCAGAAAGAAGAAAGTGCTGGCAACGCTGGCAGTGAAGACGCATAAGCATACAGTGTGGACAGTCTCAGGATTAAGGCAGCAGGCATGAAGGAGACTAAATAGGAAGAATTCACAGATTTCTGTGATTAAATAAATTTAAAAGTTATAAACAACCAGTTTCCCAATTATTTGAAAAAGACAAAAAAAACCTCAATATTTTTTGAATCATTATTGATGTGTAATAATCAAAGGTGGCTGGGCATGGTGGTTCACACCTGTAATCCCAGCACTTTGGGAGGTTGAGGTGGGCAGATCAGTTGAAGTCAAGAGTTCGAGACCAGCCCGGCCAACATGCTGAAACCTCATCTCTACTAAAAATACAAAAATTAGCTGGATGTAGTGGTGGGCACCTGTAATCCCAGCTGCTTGGGAGGCTGAGGCAGGAGAATCGCTTGAACCCGGGAGGCAGAGGTTGCAGTGACTCGAGATCATGCCAATGCATTCCAGACTGGTCAACAGAGCGAGACTCTGTCTCAAAAAATAAAACAAGGCCAGGTGCAGTGGCTCACGCCTGTAATCCCAACACTTTGGGAGGCCAAGGTAGGTGGATCACCTGAGGTCAGGCCAGTCTGACAAACATGTTGAAACCCTGCCTCTATTAAGAATATAAAAATTAGCTAGACCTGGTGGTGGGTGCCTGTAATCCCAGCTATTCGGGAGGCTGAAGCAGGAGAATCACTTGAACCTAGCAGGCAGAGGTAGCAGTGAGCCAAGATTGCACCACTGCACTCCAGCGAGACTCTGTCTCAAAAAAAAAAAAGAAAGAAAATAAATCAAAGATGTTTAAAAAGTCAGGAGTCCTGTGTGCCTGGCCTCCCCCCTTGCCCAAAGCTGAGAGACCACCAGGCACAGTGGCTCATGCCTGTACTCTCAGCACTTTGGGGGGCTGAGGCAGGTGGATCACTTGAAGTCAAGAGTTTGATCCCAGCTTGGCTAACATGGTAAAACCTCATTTCTACTAAAAATACAAAAATTAGCCACTTGTGGTGGTGTGAGCCTATAATCCCAGCTACTCAGGAAGCTGAGGCAGGAGAATAGCTTGAACCTGGGAGGCAGAGGTTGCAGTGAGCTGAGATTGTGCCACTGCACTCCAGCCTACGTGACAGAGCAAGACTTCGTCTCAAAAAAGAGAGAGAGAGACGGAGAGACCTACCTTATCCAAAATCACATCACTCTTCCTGAGTTCTAGGACCTTGGAAAGATACCGACAGAGCTCAGCGTTAGCCTCTCCCTCTGATGGAGGTGCTGCAATAGCTACATTTACAGCTTCTGCTGTCAAATCTGGAATGAAAACAGGGTGGACTTTACCCTTAGGAAGTTATTTTTCTTCATGAAGTGAGGACATTTTGTAAAAGAGTTTTTTGAATTTGCCTGACACATAGATTTTCAATTAATAACTGTTGAATAAAGAAATGAATGATTAAACTAATCACATTTAAGGGAACATGAACATGATAAAAATGGCCCTACCGTTACAGGAAATAAAACCGGAGAAGAAAACCGATATTTACCCAATCTTGCTGACCAAGATGGGCTTACAGAGCCCTGGGGAGTATCCTGCAACCGGAAATTGCCCATGGTATATTAAGAGCCCCAGGCATGGAGTCAGAGATGGCCTTCAGCCTCATCAATGTCACTAAGGAAGTGCAGGGACAGCCTAGCTTATTAGATTGTACAGGGTTGTGCAGAGTTTCCTCATCAGGAAAATCAGAGCCCTAGACTAAGTTCACCTCTTATGTGACATGTATCTTGACTGTTCTAAAAATTTAATAATGTTTACTTAACAAATATTTACATAGCACTTACTATACACTAATTTTAAGCACACACAAACGTGTTAAAGGCTTTACAAATATTAACTTCTTTAATCCTTATAAAGATTTCATGAAGATATTAGTACCATTATTATCTCCATTTTACAAATGAGCCACAGCACCCAGACTCCCATTTTAGATCTAATGAAACATAATACTCCAACAGTAGACAGTGTCCACACCCGCTACTTAGAAAATGCTGGCCAAGGAGAACATGGCCAAGTCAAACTGGTCATCAACATAAACCAGGCCTAGTATACCAATTTTGTGGTCTTCCTTTCAAAATCTAAACACAGTGTGGAATATGGAGCTTAAGAGGTGAAAAAGACCTTCAAAATAATTCAGAGCATGGTTTTCGAACTTTTTTCTCCTTTAGAATCCCTTTCCCCCAATTTTCTCTAGAATCCCAATATTTAAAACAAACATAAACACAGCTAGTCAGAGTCCTGTGTGCCTGGCCTCCCCTTTGCCCAAAGCTGATTCCCGAGGCACCTCCAGCACTCCAGAGAATAGCTTGAAAGCCCCTAACTTAGTCCAGCGATCTCATCTGACAGATGAAAAAACTGGGCCCATGAATGTTTTATACTGTTTTACTTAAAACAAGTTCACACAGGAACTGATCACTGGTCTCAGATCGAAAGTTTCCTCCCTCTCCTTAGGCCACGATCATTAAACTACACTAAAATGTGTCTTCTTTCTCTGGCCAAATGTCTCCAGTTTTGGAACAAGACAAACTAAAAATCGAGGCTACACACAGGTTTCCATTATCTGTCCTTTCTAAAATACCATATTTTAAAAAAGAAAATTGTACAATGGTTTTGTGTAACTTGGCATGATTTAAAGATATATTCACTTTCAGGCACCTTTACATTAGAATCTAGAATTTTAAAATGGAGAAGCCGCTAACTGCAGATGTGACAAATCAATGGTCACAGGATAAGCCTTCAGTTAGCCAAAGCAAAGGGAGGCTGGAAAAGACATGTGATTCACACTTAAATCCCACCCCAGTGTCCCGGCATACCTGTTACAGCATTTTGTTTGGAGCCAGGTTTGGCATGGATGGCTATGGTGACACAACCTTTAGGATCAACTGCCACAGGACCTAAGGGAGGAAGAGGTCTCTCCGGTTCTTTGCTCTGGCTTTTACCCTAAAATGACAACCACACAACTTTACAGGTTACAAAATATTTTCCCACACACTTAATTTGATCCTTCCACTGACCCCTTTCACCCTTAACAGACAAAGTGGGCTAATCAGTGGTGTCCAGGGACTTCTGGCCACCTAGGACGCTTTTCCCACGAACTTCATTAATCAATTCTCCCATGAAGCATTCCCATCAACCCAACAGTGTTTTTTCCTCCCTTGCAAGAAAATCTAACTCTGGCTTCTAAACCTTAATGTTTGTTCCTCCCTAGGGAACAATTCCTCCTGGGCAGGGACCATTTATTATTCATCATTGTAACTCATGCAGTCAGAGCTAATAAATGTTGGTGAAAGTGTATATGTGTGCGTGTTGGGGAAAAGGGAGAAAAAAAAAACCAGTAGGGCTTCATATTTAAAGGCCTGTTATGGGACAGGGGCTGTGCTAGGAACTTTCATTCAACAAATATGTAGGCAATGGATAAGTAAAGATATAAGGATATAAGGTCCTTGCTCTCAAGCAGCTCGGACAGCTGCGAGGGAGAAAGAACATACAAAATCATAACAACACTGTGCTAAGTGCACCCATGAGATACACACGGGGCATTACCGCACGGGCAGCTCGGCACTGGGGCACTGGAGGATCCTGCCAGCAGTGGCAGGAGGCAGTCCTTGAGCTGAGTCTGAGAAATGGACTGCGGTTGGCCAGGAAAGACGGTGGAAATGGGAGTGGTGTATTCTTGACAGAAGGGCTGCGATCAGCCCAGGTAAGGGAGGAGGACGCAGAATAGGGCCTCCCGGGGAAGCGCAGGCGTCACGCCGCTGCTGGAACGTGAACTGCTGGGCTGGGAGTGCAGGGAGGCCAGAGAGGTCAGCACACGCAGCCCAGGGAGAGCTCGGCTGCCGCCGGGCCCAGCACTCCGTCACCGGGTGGACGGCGGCGCAGCCTACTGAGGCGGGGCGACTGCAGCAGGAGCCGCAGCTCTGGGGGTGGCGGTGGCGGTCCTGGGCCCCGGAACTGAGAGAAGGCAAACTGCCGGCGGTACCTCCACCCCCGGGCCCCGCTTCTCCCGCGCTCCTAAACAAGGAGCCCTGCGGCCCACCCCTCTGCTGCCAGGGGACCTGCCACTGGCCTTGGTCGTCGCACCAGCCTTCTTAGGCATCTCGGCGTCAAGAGGAAGCCAAGCTGAACCCCAGGTGCTGGGTTCTGCCACGACCTGCCTCGGCCCTCTGTAGAGCCGCAGCATCCCTGTCTGGGGAGGCGCCGGAAGAGCCCTCTGCACTTGCGCAGGTAGCGGGCAGGAGCGGCCCCAGCGCGCAGCGCAACCGCTTTTCGCGAGGGCGACACCTTACGGCCGGCGGGAGCGAGTCTCCACCCTCCTCAGCTGATGGGAAGATGTGTCACTTCTGATCTTCTCTTTCCTAATCGGGGAAAGAAAGGTATTGTCACTTCGCAGAATTGGAGAGCGCGGTAAGGAGTGCACAGGGCCAGGTGTCTTCTCGCTCCTGCAGCCAAGCAGCAGGTGCAAAGCCCCACGCTGCTGCCTGTGGCCAGCAAGTCTATGCAGAGCCTCGTGCCCTTGTGAATCTTCCACGTATCGATGGCGCACCTACCTCGTGCCAGGCGCAGCGGATCCCACAATGTAAAAGAGGAAATGCACTGCGACATGTGATATGGCGAGGCATGAAACAAATCAGCAGAAGCAAGATCATGGAGTCACTGAAGGCTTTGAAGCAAGGGATTGGGAGTCCAATTTGTTGTGTTTTAGAAAGACACCAGCTGCACTGTGGCTGACAGAGGAAAAGGCAGCTATAGGGAGATCCGCCCCCTAAATGGGAGACGGTGACCTGAACTAAGCAGCGAGGATGGAGCCCTGATCATTTCAAGGATCTTCAGAAACTGGAATGATCAGAACTTGAGAATGACTGCATGTACGAATAAGAGCGAAGAGTCAAGGAAATGCCCAGGTTTGGGACCCAAGGAACAGGTTTGGGAGTCCGAGGAGAGGAGTTCAACTTTGGACATAATGAGTTTGAGATGACCACCGGACATCGAAGTACAAATATTAAAGGGGTAACTACATATATGTAACTGAAGTTTGCAAAATCAAGGCTGGCAATAGAGATTCTGGAATCTTCTGAAAAATAGATGGCAATTGAAGCAATGGAAATGGATGAGAGAAAGGCTGAGAAAGTGTGTGCGGAGCACGAGGGCCAGGATAGAGCAGCAAGAGCAGGTAGAGAAGTCAACAAAGGACGTTGTCCAGGTAGCAGTATGGTGTAATGGCAGCTAAGGAAGGGTGCTTCGAGAGGGAATATCAACAGTGACGAATGCTCCAGAGAGAATGTGTCACATGTAATGACCAAGAAGTGACCGCAAGACTTAGAAATCAGGGTGGTGTTGGTGACCCAGGCTGGAGCAGTTTCAGTGGAGAGAAGGAAGTGGAGATAAGTGTCGAGAATAATCCAGTGACTTCACTGTGAAGGAGCAATTGGTATCTGGAGGGGCACGTGCCATTCAGAGACTTATTTTTACCATATTAGAAGGTTGGTAGAAAAGAGCCAGGAGAGGAGAGGTTACAGCAGAGGGCAGTTCCTGAAGAGATGGGATCCGAGCTCAAGTAGAGACCAACTGCACTACAGGGGACTGTAGACACTCCTCCCTTCCTAACGGAGAGCTTAAGTGGACATGTAGGTGCGTTTATAGGTTTGCTGATTGGAGCTGGGATTTCTTTCGTAACTAAGGCTGGAGGAGGTGTTGAAGGTGTGAGCAAAGTGGAACAGCTTTACATTGGGACTCTGGAGAATGGCAAAGGGCTGACTCTTGGAACTCATTCTACGGTACTGACAGTTAAAGGAGACCATGAAATCATCATGATCCCAATCTATAGTTACATTATTTATTTCTGAGACAGAGTCAGTGGGATGGGAAGAGCCTGTCACCCAGGCTGGAGTGCAGTAGTGGGATCTCTGCTCATTGCAACCTCCGCCTCCCGGGTTCAAGCAATTCTCCCTGCCTCAGCCTCCAGAGTAGCTGGGATTACAGGTGCATGCCATCACACCCATTTTATTTATTTTTTGTATTTTTAGCAGAGACGGGGTTTCACCATGTTGCCCAGGCTGGTCTCAAACTCCTGAGCTCTGGCAATCC